TTCAAAAAAAAAAATCCAAGGACTTATGCTCCGGAGTCGTTTTCTCCCAAAAACTTTATGAAATTATGCTCAGAATGTCCTTGGAATTTTCCTCTGAAGCTCCCCAGAAATTCCTAAGAGTTTTCATTAAAATTTACTTACAGAGTTGAGGCAATATCTGCTGATGTACCACGCAGCAAGTCCCACGACTACAGGAAAGCCTCCATCGGAGCTCATATTTGAACGTGGTATACGTACTAAATTACCGTGCATTTTAAACCCATCACATGAATACGAGATCGTGAGAGAACGAGACGCTATTGAGAAAGAGAAAGGGAGATTGTATGCTGACAAGAAACGTGGAGCCACGGAAAGTGACTTGCAAGTGGGAGATCGCGTGCTAGCGAAGCGTACCAGGAAGGAAAATAAGCTGTGTTCTGACTTTGCACTTGAAACGTTTGACGTTATCCATAGAAGTGGAGCTGATGTCGCCATTCGATCAACAAAAACGGGAAAGGAACTCAGAAGAAGCTCAGCACATCTGAAAGCACTTCCCCGTGCAGAGCCTAACAAGACTGATCCACCCGAGGATACAACTTCTCCACCGTGAAAAGGAGGATGATGATACTACATCGACATCAGACAAAATACAGACGGCAAATACTTTAAGAAGAACTAGAGTAGAACCTAAACATTTCAGAGATTACGTAAGCTACTGAATAATTCGTTTAAAGGAAGAGGGGGATGTAGGGTATGAGTTTACTACTTTCGAGTAAAATATATTGACAGTGTTATAAGTTAGGAATACCTTGGCGAAAAAGCTCTTGGCGAAGAGAAACCGGAAAAACTATCGGACGAAGGGACGTGAATACAGATTGATGATATTGGTTGGTGTGAAAATTTAATCGAGTGGTTTTAACAAATATTCCGAAACTGGATATTCATCAGCATCTACAGCAGTATCGCCAACGGGGGACAGAGTGCTTCCATTGCTGCAATGGACGCAGAACGTGGTCAGCACTCACACACTCATCATTAAGAGGATTCTTTCCAAAGTCGACGACGCATCGACCGAAAAAACTGCTGATGAAGAACAATGAGGAGGACCACACAATGGTTGCTGACGAGTAAATAGATGATCGTGAGACACACATCGAGAGTGGCCTGCTTCTGTCAACAGAATTGTTTGAAAGCGTGTTAACCAGCTGTTCTATTGTGTGTTTATTTTTTAATTATAAAATTATTTTCTTGTTCTCTCCTTTTAGACATTTCAGCCTTCACAAATAAACTAATAGTAAAAATATACATATCGAAAACGGCTGTATTTAGGGGGGATCGAAGTAGGCCGCGCTGTGAAAATGACGTGTTTTTGATTAGCTGCGTCGTTTTCGTTCTAGTGAAAATGTTATAAATATACAATTTCATTTTTAAAAAGTGTTAATTTGAAAGTACAGAAGTGATGCTGAAAAGTGCATTGAGTGAAAATTTTCAAATTCCTATCTGTTGCATGTGGTGCCGACTGTTCTAACCTACGCTCAGCTAAGTTTATTTACCTTTTCGTTCCTCTGTCCTCGATAGGAAATATCCATCTAATTCAATACAATTATTTCAAAACTTACTAAATACGTGTCAATCAAGTATTGTACGGCTGCTTGATTGAAAGTTTCAGTACATTATCAATGGTATATATTTGCATCGATAATGTATTGGAGCGGGGCTTATCATGTATGAAAATAGCTTCGGAATGCTTGAGTTCTTGAAATGGGCTATTGTAGCTGCGGTAGAGCTGTCACCTTCTAACTCCCGGGTTCAAGCTTCTTTGCATTCATAAGAAATGATTTCAGGCAGATTTTATCCATAATACCACTGCCAAGATAGTGGGAGTTAGGCTAAGGGCGAATCTTCATTCTAATCTACGATTCCACATAGTATTGATAAACTTTTTTTTCCTTTGGTTTGTTTTTTTCCGTCGATCTTGTTTTCCGTGCTGAGCACCAATGCTACCGACGTGCCAGGAAGGCAGCTCCCACACCTGGACCCTACCTATCGACCCATCAACTCATGAACCGGGGACCAACGGCTTTACTTCCCATCCGAAGGAAGGCGTGATCAGAGATGTTATGCCTCAGAACATCCCGGCGGCGCCGACTGGGATTGAACCCAGGCCTGCTGGGTGAGAGGTAATCACGCTTACCACTACACCACCGGCGCCGTTTATTGATAACCTTTTACACAGAATGAATTTTGCATATGTTTAGGATCAACAAACATTTTCAAGCGCAAAGGAGCAACAGGATCGATTTGATAACGTTTCTTAATTCCAAAATCTGAAGACTGCTTTGAATAATAAGCAACAACGGACAGATGAGCTGCTTACAGCTTCTATTTATTAAATGCTTGATATAACGATTGCCGCAACGCCGGCTGGGCGTATCCTATGGCTTATCCTCCCTACTAACAAAACTCCACCCTTCCCGTGACACTTATGAGGGGTCGTAGAGTTCTCTGCATCTCTCTTAAGTAAGTGTCGGACTAACATTCCTCCCCTTTCCCCACCAGATGCAAGGACGTGGCCAGGACAGCTCTGGTCTGTTGGAGGGAGACGCATCCTTTATCTAAGAGGTAGTAATTAATCACAAATTACTATCTAACAGCAACAGATGAAGGTGGGTCTCCTTCTTAACAACAGTTTGGAACTCGTACCACCTACGACATTGTGCAAACTGGTTTATGCTATGCTATGCTATGCTATCTCGAAAACGGCTGTATTTAGGAAGTTGATTACCATGAGTACTTTGAATTGAAATTACCTTAAAGAGTCACGCACAATGAATCCGTTTGCGTTGCGTTAACGTAAATGTTACAAGACGCATTCAGATGCATTTTATTTCAAAAAATACTTGGCAGCACTGCCGTGACATGCGACTGAGATGGAAAGAATAGACAATAGACAGAAGAATAAACAGGAATGTTCAGGATATCGTGCAAAAATAAAATAGACAGGGATGCATAAAAATATAAAAAGGATGTCTGGAATAGAAACAAAATTTCTGAACGCTGATGAATAGTTTTGGAATCGGTCATCCGGTGAATACAACCACCAAATGAAAGGTACCACAGTTACATAATGCCCCATTCCATAGAATATTTTTGGAATCGGTGAACTGGCACCAGAGACATAGCCGCAACTTGTTCCGGTTTGTAGGGGCCATGTGACTAAATCCGACCAGAAACGAATAAAACCCATAATGTGACACATCAAATGACACGAGAAATCAACAACACATTCGGATATGATCTGGTACTCCCGGTGAAGAGTCCTGTTTCTGACTGTGGTCAAAGAACATTTATTTAAGGTGTCAATTACATGAGAATTCAAAAACCAGTCGTTTGGAGTGCCCAAGACTACACTGGCCACATCCGGCCTTGTTCCGCGTACCTCCGGGAAGTAATCAGTTCTGACTAGGATCAAAATCCATTCTGCGATGCCTCAAATCACATGAGAATTCATCTATCACCTCACATCATAAGATCACTTTTGGCGGAATTCCTATTGTCTAGAAAGGGTCAGATCTCACCATAGGTGGATCAATTTGGGTTTTATTATTATTGCTCGATGTTGTAGTCATTTTCCAAGAAAATTTATATTTTATGGTTATCGCACTATGCTGCAGAATATAGTAACACAATGCAAACTGTTTAGAATTCCATTATGTAGTTGACTGAACTGAGTAACATTTAACGACAAAAGTTAATTGAAAATGGAGGTTCCATGCTCGAACAGAATTCCCCATTAAATATAAAGCACACAGAATGCACTTGCTACAGCGTTTGCGATTCCTTATTCCTGCTTTCATCAGTGCACAGTGGTATCGAAATGCCGAAAAGAACAAACTTTTTCCATCAATTTAAAATCCTGTTTAAAATTGAGAATCCCACGCGCATAGTGTTTTATGCCTTGTTCAAAGTGCAGAGTTATAACATGTTATAATAATTGTTTAAAAAAACCAAACACATCACGATAGCCTTACAACATGCTATAACTCTCCAATCTGAACATGTCAATAGAAAGACTTTGTTCATAAAAGAAGTGGAATGACATAATGATGATTATTACTTTTAACATAATTCTGCATAAGCTCACATTTTGCGCGCTTAAAAGTCACTATGCGGTGTTACTCAGCGACTGAACATGGAAGTCCTACAACACGACACAGATAGTGTATAGAACAATTTGTGCCGAGAAACAGTTCAAACTAAAGCCGAGTATGACAAACGAAAGCGAACGACTCAAGGATCAATCTAGCTAAATAATGCAATAAAATATTAAACCTCATTAGCGCTCTCGCTTTCTCGCTAAAGCCTTGCTCGTCTGGTTTCGCGGCTGAGTCCTCTGTGTCTAGGTACCTATATAGAAAGGCGAGGATAAATATAATTTCTCACCACTTTGCCAACAGCTATAGCGAGCTTGGTTTGGCGTGAATCGACGGGATATATCGCCGACCGACCGCCCGCTGTTCGAGGATGTAGTGTAAGATGGGGTAAAATGGCTTTTAGGCGATCAAAATAAGTTTTTAACTTGTAATGCAGCATGATAAATCAATGAAAATATATTGAAAATAAATTGAAAATTTGCAAAAAGATTCCTTGCTGCCGGGAGTGCACCTTACCCTATCTTACCCTACATAGTTTTCCTCAAACTTTCTCTGTGAAGGAAAGCGACTCTTGCTCTACGTTTGGGGTGGTTCATTTTCCCTGATGGTGATGTACTGTTTCAGGGCTATGAACTGGTTGTAGCAGTAACCCTACATTGTTAGCTCACACTGTACAATGGAAGAGAGTAAAGCGATTAAATTTTAAAATTTGTTCTAGATTTCCCTTGTGAGATATTCCCCTAATCGACAGAAAATTGCTCATCCCTAACGAAAATAGACTTAAACAGTTTTATCCACTCGAAACGATTGTTTGATGGTTTTTGGCGTTTGTTGAATGCTTTCTATTGTTCTTATCTATTATTGCAGTCTACACTTCCGTTCACATCACCAACCTGGAGGTACCGCGAACGTACATCCTCGAGCGGGAGGAATTTCTCACTGCCTTCTCTGCAGGACATCGACATCCGGTGCAGATTCAATCGGAGACTGGTAGCAGTAATGAGTTTACTAGCTCAACAGTATCAACAACAACAACTACTACTGCGGATACAAAGTTCACTGCCGCAAGCAACATTAGCAACAGTGGCGATAGGGAACATTCCCACGAGATAAAACCACTGATAATGGACTGCCAGTATGAGATCAAGGCTAACGAGTGTGGCTTCGTGCTGAAATGGTACTTCAACAGAAAGTTAATCTACCAGTGGATACCGGCGCGGTCTCCCGTCGGGATGGTGAGTGATTGAAGATGATGAGCATGGGAGGATGATGTGACTGCAATGTCAAATGCCTATCAGCATGTTCATTTATGTTTGGTTTTTTTTATTTGTAACTGTGTTGCGTTGAGTACGCAGGAGATGATTTAGGAGTTGAGTAGTTCTCAAAGCATTCCGTTAATTTTTTTTTTTTGAAAGACGGCCGAGAAATATCGGTGAGTTAACGGTACCACCCACCGCATCAATGGAGGGAATGCTGTACAAAAGTTTTAAGTGCTAAAAATTACAGGTTCCTCAGAGTTGGTTGGAAATGCTATCTAATATCAACATGAAGATTTAATGTGATAATTTATTAACTAGAGAAATTTCTTTAGAGGGTAGGTTAATAGTTCCACTGAAAATTTGAATAGAAGTTAAAAATGAGCGAGGGCCATTAATGCGACAGTACTAGTCAAACGCACACTCCTTTACATAACTCATCCATGAATGCATGAGGAGACTTGAAGTATTTATTGTCGCTAGAGTTGGAAACTGAAATAATTCACTCGCGAAAATCGATTTTACTCTCGTTCTGTACGTTAAACATAAGGTCGCATCAAGTGCGCGGCATTCTTTGAATTATGCGCTATAATGCGCACTAGATGCGAAATGATGTTTAACGTACAGAACGAGAGTAAAATCGATTGTCGTGAGTGAGTTATTTCGGTTTCCAACTCTAGCGACAAGATTCAAATCTACAGGCAAAATAGTGCGCGTTTGACTTGCTCATATACTGTGGTAGTGGAATAGTTCTAGCGACGTTTCATCAATACCTAAAGCTCCACGTTGCCGAAAACATTTCCAGTCGATGGTGTGTTATAATGTAATTCTTCTTTACCCAACTATTCTTGCGTAACATTTTAAAAAGGCCCATCCTCGTTGATCGACTCTCTTCATCGACTTTCTCTTTGGTTTACCACGGCAATATAAACGAATTTCTCGCTAAGCTCGCAGCACAGTTCGACAGAAGATGATGTTAACTTGCGCCTGAAACAACACGGCGATAAGAACGACCCAAATTTGAGTTTAGTTCACTCATAATCGCCAGGAACTCAGCGATGAGTAAAATTTGTCTCATGTTTTTCCAGGTTTTTCCAGGTTTTTCCAGGATTTTCCAGGGAAAAATTCCCGAATTTGAGAAAAGTAAAGATTGGATTCACTCAGTCTATTGGTACTACTCCGAGACTGAATGAAATTTTCGTCAATTTTGAACTTTTGCGCACGAAACAAAACAAAACAAAACAAAACTGCACAGCGAAGAGCTCTATGATGGCATAAAAAATTTTCACGGATGCTAGTAAGATCATATATTTTTCATGGTTGCCAAAACAACTTTTTGTGCCTCCGCTTATCTATGGAATCTATAGTATCTATAGTGAGACCCAGTAAATTTATCGTCTCTTTCGTTCTTTGGCTGATTAAATGGATGACGGAGTTTGACGTCACACTCCTTCAATCGTTTAAACAGCAAGAGAACGAAGGAGATGAGAAATTCACTGAGCCTTACATATTTACATCTCATTGATGGATTTTCAGTAGGCCGATTTGGCAGCACATCCCACCCGGTTCTTCAGAGTTGGTTCGTTCCTATTTAGAGAGGTTCTATTATAAGAGAGGAGCGGATTCAAAACAGGGCGTTTTTAGCAACACTGCCAATGCAATTAAGCAAGGCGCTGCTCCATTGGCTCTGGCTTTGACAGTTCATTTGGCTCAATACCAGTCAGCCCGTTCCTCTCTTATACTAGACCCTCTTTAGTTCCTATCTTAAAAAATAACTCTACGGCCGAGTTCTCGAAAACGTTTGGCCTATACCTATCTCTGGTAACAAAGTATAATCATTATTAGGGTGCCAATGAAAACAGTCATCTTGAATTTTTGAAGCCGCGTATGTGAAAAATATTTATTACCTCGAAAAAATACCCTGTGCAAAGTTTGGACTCAATCGAGCGTGATTTGAGGAGACGTAAAATTGATAATGTTTGAGTTTTTTCGTTTCGGAAATTGATTTTTATGTTTTGATGTTATATGACATAAAAAAGCATGAAACGTCGAGATCTGATGTTATCCCGAAATAATTTTTTTGTCAAAAATCGACATTTTGAGACTTGAAATTCTTTCATGAGATATCAGTGTGCCGCAGCTGTACCGGCAGTGCCAAGAAGTCATTGAACTGACTTTTGTTTGCTTGTGAATAATGCCTTGTTTGGCAACCCGGTATTTTAACAGCTCTTGTTTTTGTTTTGTTTTTCAATGTTTACAAAAACGACACGGACTCCAGTTGGGACTACAAACTGGATGCTGCCATCTCAAAGGATGCCTGCAACGGACGAGCTCCATTGCTACACGATCCTTCCATCTTCGGCGGAAGGCCAACCCCGCCAACGAACGTCAATCATTAGTCAACCAGCCTTTCTGGGAGCCGGTGGAGGAAACGGATTTGCACCAATTTTTTCACCGCCGAGTATCTTCCGTCGGAAAACTCGAAACCAACACCGGCCGGAACACACGTCGGACTGATGAAGAACGCACCACTGACCCGAAACGTACCAGCCAATGGGTCTTGGCTGAATCCAGATGGGATTTTTCTGAGGCATAATAATCTCTGGTCACGTCTTCCTTCGGAAGGGAAGTAAAAAGCCGTTGGTCCCGGCCCATGTGTGTTTGAATGGGTGCGATATCCTACGCAGGTGTGGAAGCTGCCTTCCTGCATATTTGATTGCCGTCAATGGATGGTAATCGATGTCCGAGTGATATACGCTGTCTTGCAATGAGCACTCATACATCTAGTTTTCACTGGAAATCCTATGTAAACGTCGTCTGCTACATCCTATTATTCACGATGTCTGTGGGTGTTTGAAAGACTGCAGAAAACGTATTGCGAAGGATGGTAGAATTGAAGCAAACCGTATATTCTGGAAGCTTGATTCGAAAGAACAGACCAGTTTTATCCACGAAAAAGTGCAACAAGTGAAATCTACTAAACGAATCTAAATCGGTGTTGGCCTTCGTAAACAGCATACATACAAATATTATGCAAGAACCTCCAACGGTACTATGGAAAACGTCTACCGAAAATGTTATCTAAATACTCTGGGATATTTGGAATTGTAAGATAAGAGAATGTATGAAGAATTTAAAAAACCCGCATTGTGAATTCCACTGTTTGGTGCTGAAACAAATGAATTTCAAAAGTAACCAAAAGTTCTGATAAAAGGCTATTTGTGGCTTAAGCAGCTTGGTTGAAGGTGGTCTACAGAATTCTAAGCAGCCTCATTTTTAAGTCGGTATAAGAACTTCACACTTAATTTGTTTTCGCCGTGATTCCAACAGCCAAGTAGTGCAATTTATTTTACTGAGATTCAGTAAAACAATTGCCGAGATTCAGCTAACAAATAAGATTTTGCTGAGATATCAGCTAACAAATAGATATTATGCAGAGATATCAGCAAAATTAAATGCCGAGGTAATCGGCTGTTGGAAATTTTACCGAGCTAGATTAAGTGTGTTGAAAGTTCCGGTACCATAATTCAAGAACATTCTAAGCTGCTTCTGGCGGAACTTGAACAGAACTTTTAGAAAATAAGTAAAAAAAAAGGTTTTTGTCCTCTACACCAATTCTATATTTAGTTCGCAGTTTTATGAAAGTAAATTCTAAAGTCAGGTTTTTATGAAAATTATTTTTTAAGGCAGGTATGAACGTGAATTGATTTATCAGCATAAGAAGTAGTATTGGAGCTGTTTGAAGAATTAAACTCAGTCCTTTTGCGTGAGAGCCACCGCACGAACCGCTACGTCATCTGAGATATCGACAGTGAGCATGCATAAGGGCCTATACGCGATGATCGATTCTCTTCGTCGATTTTCTCTTTTGTTAATAACTCGCTAGATTTAACGTTTCTCGGTGCGTTTGATGTTGCTTTTGATAGCCAATACAACCTGTTACACCTCTGCATTGAAAAAATTCTATAAAATTGTTTCGCTTAACTGTAGCAATGCAAAGAGAAAATCGATGAAGAGAATCGATCATCGCGTATTCGCCCTTATACATGTTCACTGTCGATATATTAAAGTGAGCTTTTGGAACGCCTACTGCTGGAGTTTTCAGTGCCAGCTGAATGACATGAATACGAAACACAACACCTTGATGTATTCTGTCAATTTCACTTTCAGCGATCTTATGATTCGTGAGCGTTCACTCAGAGTGACCGCTCACGAATCGTAAAATCGCTGATTGTGACGCACTTAAAGCAATATTGACTGGTTTTATGTGTCAAATACATATTTCACGACCCCTTCTTTTAACTTTCAAGAATTAATAACCATTATAACATCTAATGATTTCATAATTCCGAAAAACAATTTTTTATAGCAAGTGAGTGGAAGCAACCCTGGTCGAGTGAGTTGCAATTATTACACATGACAAATTCAATTTAATTACAATCAGACAAAAGTAAATTTCTTAGGCCTGTAGGTACCTGTGGGAACACGAAAATAATTGTTTAAACTAGTTTTGTTTTAAATCTCTGTTGAAGCTTTCCCTCCCCTTGGCTAGTTTTTGCACCTTGCTGTTGGTGGGCGGGCTTAATTTCATGCTAGTGGAGTGTTGGAGACGGTAGGTTTATGGTCGGCGTTGCTGGCTCATGCCGCGATAGAATGGCGTCATGGGCAGGCAATGGGGATTACTAAGCTTCCCCTCTCTGATAAACCACTGCATGAGAGAACCAAAGATCTAGTCTAGCAGTGATAGTATCACACTTGTTACTCCTTTTATTGAGAGCCGCGTCGTAGTACGCTTACGTATAGGCACTGACGTTGGGTGTGATACTGGCGGGTTTTGCCGCAAATCACTCTTATTTTATTTATTTTTTACGATAGATTTATTTGGGTTTGCAAGGGAATTATACTATTGAAGTATTTCAGAAAGTGCCCATCGGTGCTCCTTCTATTTGCGTGACAAGCTTTCATTGTTGTTTTCATTGAGGTATTACTCAGGGAACAATGTTAAACACCATTTTGGACATGGTATTGTAAATAATCTTATATGTGCTTCATTTTGATTTGGGATAAGTGTTTGAACTATGGCTCGGGATTTCCACTGTGGTGTGCTTCTATTGTGACATACCCATATGTATTTTTGTGGTGCGACATAGTGGAAACGTGAGAGCGTAATTGGAACATATACCCTATATAATGTAAATATCAGCTAGGAAACTAACTTCAAAATGAAGCATTTTAGTCACATGAAGGTGTTACCTGGGTCGAACTAAGATATAATAAATAGGTATAGGCTTAAATCAAAAGTACTTGAAACACGTTTAATTTTAGATTACAAGCACAAGTGCAGGTACTTTATAAAGCATGGGTTATGATTGATTAGGTGAATTAGAGCTTTTAATAATTTATTAAATTAGACTAATGAGATATCATAATCATCAAATGAACTTAAATAAGAAACTTCAGAAAGTCTAATGACATTAAGTAGATTAACAAAAGAATTAGGATGCGGGGGGTCCGCTTAGGAGGCAACTAACCTTTAAAGTTGTAGAATAAATCTTCTTATTTAGGTTTGAACATTAACAAGAAAACTTAGGCAGACCAATACTATTAAGCAGATTAACAAGGAGAGGAATAGTTTAGGAAATAAGTAAAAGTAAAGGTATGTGACAATTAATAGCTTTTAAACTTTTGGAGGTATTGTATTCCCCTGAGTTTGTTGTACTCGATTACTATATAATTCTCTCAATACGCGAAATCTCTTATATATGCGGTTAAAGCATTTGAGTTAATTTATTTCTTAGTGTTCAAGTACTTACATTTGTAAACAGCAGTCAATGCTAATCTATGAACTAAACCATACGTAAAATCGATCTTTCCTTATGTGGTATTGATGCATGTTTAACTTTTCGCGGCTGTCGGAATCAACGCGCCTACGTCTACGGAGCTTACGCAGAAGTGATTCACAAATGCGGTAGAGCTCACCAAAAGTTTTTTTGAGCTTCTGTAGTATAGAATTTGTTCGTTACGGTCGCGAAATCTTGAAATGATTGATACGTGCGGTAAAATAACTAAATTGAAACAAAGCTCAACAGTAAAATAAGTAGAATATTTAGGGAGGAAACCAAAATTAATCAACTTGCCAACATAGGCTATCACATTTATTTTGGTGGCACTCTTTAAGTGATAATAAGTTGTTTTTTTTTTTCTCTACGGTTGTTTCGCGTGGCGTTCACAATTTGCGCGATTTTCGTATCTTACGTAATTTAGATGTTTAGCTATAAACGGTTTCACTGACTTGAGGTCGTTCCTTAAGCGGTGTTGGTACAGGTTAAACCTTTGCCGACTGTCGGATTCAACGCGCCTACGTCTACGGAGCTTACGCAGAAGTGATACGCAATTCGGTAAAGTTTGTCAAACGCTTTTGAGCTCATAGAATTTGTTCGGTGCGGTCGCGAAATCTTGAAATAATTGATACGTTCTTTAAATTAACTAATTTGATACAAAGCTCAGCAGTAAGTAAGTAGAATATCTAGGGAGGAAACCAAAATTAATCAACTTGCCAACATAGGCTATCACATTTATTTTGGTGGCACTCTTTAAATGATAATAAGCCTTTTTTCTCGCTTCGGTTGTCTCGCACGGCTTTCGGAATTCGCGCGGTTTTCGTAACTTACATAATTTAGATATTTCGTTCGAAACGGATTTACTTATTCAATCGGTTTACTACGCGGATGTATCTACGCGCACACGTCACAGCATTTTTTCTATAACTATCTTAAAACAATGCATACGGAATCCAGTGTTCAAGCGGCCAACATAGGCTAGTCCTTCTGCTGTATTGTCAAAGATAGAAGCAAAATTTATTCAAATGGGTCAAGTCTTGAAAACTAAGCTGTCACGCAGCTCCAGCTTGATACCCAATAAAAAAAAAAAAAAAAAAAAAAAAAAAATCTCTGTTGAAGCTTTGAAGCATCCCTCGTAATGTTTATAGAATACACTAGCTGCCTTTTCTGACGCAGAAGCCGAAAATTGTGTCTCCGAAAAAAACAAAAGAGTGAAGTAATACAGAATATTTGTCGGCACCCTAATAAATAAAGACAAGACAAACCTTCCTCCAATTAAATAGTGTTATAACTATTACTCCCTAGCCAGACCATTACCTTAGCGCTTGTTAGAATTTTAGTTTGAAATGTGTATAGAAATATGTTCAAACATATTTCTAAATTATGGATTAAATTTATTTTTATTTTGCGCTTAATTTTTTAGCCTTGGAGTTGACTTACTTTATGCTACTTCTTTTAATCTGTTTTTGCTTGAAGTTTGAAACTTAGGTTACTGATTGGAGTGCTTGTGAGGATGGAGGGTTCCCTAAAACTTGATTTGCTTACATTTTTTAGATACGTCCTTCTAGATTTAATTCAATTCTAACCAATTATCATAAACCAAAAGTTCTTGATCTAGTTTTCTCCACTTCTCCAAAATCCTTTTTCCCATAAGAACAAATTCAAAAGCGAACTTCGGACCAATTACTCGATGTCGGATTTGGCGAACTACAAGTACCGGGCCTTGGTCATCCAGCATCCGAAGTTGAACCACAGCGGCGAGTACATGTGCTCGGTGCAAACGTATGAATCGTTCGATCGAAAAGCAGCTCGATTTCAAATCGTCGGTAAGTACACTTTCTATTGAACAACCCCGGCATTGATAGCGCCATCGCTTTGTGCCTATCGCATTTGTTGGCTTCGGCTGAATAACCGTACGCCTGTTGGTGCAAGATTGATGGGGTGGATTATTTTCAACTTCAAGTATGTTTGCTTTTTTGTTGATTTTATTCTTATGCTGCTACCGGTGCTGCTGCTGCTGCTACTACTGTTCGTTATCAGTGCCGGAGAAGATGCTGCTGCTTCACTACGAGAACGATGCCGAAAAGGAGAACATGCTCCTGATCAAGTGTAGCGTTTTTATGATTTATCCCGAGCCAAATCTGGTATTGGTGTAAGTGGAGAGGAGGCGAGGAATTTTACGCTTTTCGTTTCATTTTTGTGTTTGCAAACGTTAAAATTGTGTTCTGTAACTTTTGAATTTATGGTTATTGGAACGAAATTTTTACCATCGATATCTGGTATCAGCTGTTTGGCTTGAACAGAAGACTGCATTTTGACTTCTGAACCGTTTCCCGATCAATAATGAGCTTCCCTGGAATAAAATAATGTTCCCTTTACTTCACAAAGCTCTTCAAACATTAAAAAATGTCCACTTCTACGCAGTTTTCAGAAGTTTTCCAATTTCCTTGTTTCTACGTTTTTTTCTGAAAATCTATGAAGTTCCCAGAATTTCTAATAAGTTTCTTCAATTTGTACGATGTTCCCTGAACTTCTTTGACGTCCTTGAAGTTTTACGTAGGTCGCAGAAGTTAAAGAAAAATCCCTGGGCTCACGGCCAGTTTTTGGAGCCTGAAGACGGTCTTGTTTTGCTATCGATTAAGTATCGATATAATATAATTTCCAGAAATTGTTTCTTCTAGTCCAGAACATAAGAAAAGTAGTCAACAAGGATTTAAAAAAAATCTTTGTTTGTGGTCTAATTTTATTAATCACTGTTAAATAGTAACATCGAAATTGACCAAATTGACAACATACCAATCAGTAAAAAAACACCAAACATTCTGGGCCTCCCTGGCATCCCCATTAGCTACGCCAATGCAAACAAATCACATTGCGAGATGTTCCAACAAGTCACATTGCCAAATTTTTGGCGATGCTACGATTTTTTTCAAGCTCACAGAAATCTATGACAATGTTTTAATAATAAATTCTACCTTTACCGGGAGTCCATTAGCAACGTCACTTAACGTGACTGTCTCGTGACTGGAGTGATTCTGGGTATGATTATATTCACTTTGTGAGGACAGTCTCGTGCCTGGATTGGATTGAGCTTCACTTGTTTGCTACTTCTCTATCATGGTGAGTGACGTGACGGTGACAATAGACCGCCCTGGTAAAGTTTGTTATACGGTGCTGTAAAATACGTTGATGCCTTTTTGTGTGTTATCGCTGAACAATCATACTTCATGTAAATTTTCGTTTGCTTTACCTATTACCAAGTTAGTTCAACTGTATTTTTTGAACTGTAATCTTGAACTGAAACGATCCTTTTCTTTCCATCTGCACAGGGTAAGCGGTGATTTGCTACTGGTCAGCTCGCGTACCGTGGTCGTTTCGGATCGACACCGGATGTACAACAAAACAATTTACGGTATGATCGACAAGCATCTGCTGATTTCTCCCACCTCGATTGGCTGTATTCTAACGGTGGCGGGATCCAGCTACGTGCGGAAGCGCGAAACAATCTATTACGGTAATGCCAATTGGTGTTATGCTTTCGAATTTCAAACAACTAAACAACGTCCGAGCGCCCGTCGTCGTCGTCGTTGTGGAGGACATTGGATCAATAATTGATTGTATTTTCTCTCGTGTGTCGTCTATTTTCATGCTTCCACGTGGTTCCGTAGATCCCACTCAGCTGACGAGATGGAGCCGCCTGCGAATGGACGAGCAAGGACGATTCGAGATTAGCGATTGCTCGGGTATGCTATAGCAACAGCACGCATGGTGGTCTTTGGTAGAGAGCTTGAATTATTTGATTGAGCGATTTTAATGTGATTGATGTGTATCGACGAGTTTCGATTCGCATCAATCGAATACACAAAGTTTCCTCCGATGCGGTGCGATGAGAGCTGGTCTTTTTTCCAGTTCTGCATTTCATTTTCATTTATTCTCTGTGTACTTGCAGGTCGTTCGAGCGTGTCATCCGCGGTGACAGCAATTGCGTTGTGTTTGGTCTGTCTAGGACGCTTTTAATTGTGATATTTCAGTAGGATCAAATTAATTTTCGTACGAGTAGGAACGTGAAAATTAAGTTTGTTATCAATCAATCCGATAGCCTTGTGGAGCAGGAATAAAAAAAGCTCTTTGAAACTCACTATATTATTTAAAAAAAAGGTAAACGTAATATCACAGACAAGCAGACATAACTCTGGCATGTTTTCATCGAACACGCATTTATCGGTCTTTCTCTTTAGTTGGTAGTGCAGACTTGTCCATTATTTTTGATTCGGCGGTGGCGGCGGGACAGCGTGACACCGTTGACTTTGATCAGTGGCGGCGGCGGCGGTAGCGAACATCGGCGTATCACTAATAGCTAATTCGTTTATTATTCAGTTCCAACCTGGATCGGGTATCAAGATTGGGTCTGCTTGTTTTCTGACAAACGTCAGTTAGATCGTTTGTTTTTAAAACCCAGCTCAGGTTGAGGTTCGCACTGACAAAAAGTTCGGTTTCGCACTGGGTTGGAACTGGTTCCAACCCCGATAATAAACGAATTCGCTATGAGGTGGCTGTCAAAATGTCACATATCAAATTTGAATTTAAACCATAATTTTGTATTTCAGTATGTGTGACTTGTGCCTTTCAAATGTGTTACCGAAAACACCAACACAACGTTTCCACGAATCTACTGCTCCCTCTGTTGGTCCGCTAGTGCCGCTATCCCTTTTGCTGGTGGTCCTTTGCTGGTCGTCCGCTCTCTCCATAGTCCGCCGTCCGCCACAGAATGCCGTCAACGAGACTTTACTTTTGACTTTAAATGATCTTTATTTTTGTATTTGTGTGGTTTACATGTATTACTTATCAAGTGACACAGATGCGTCTTTTTAACTTTAGTTCTGTTGAAATTTCAATTATTATTAATTACAGTTCCTAGTCCTGTTTTAAGAATGACCACCTTGGTGGGATTGGTTTGTTTTAAATTTGAAAAAGGAGACTACTTATAACTACTATTTACAACTACAACTAACCTACAACTACTATATAAAAATTGCTTATCAAAGCATGTTCTGATAAATTACATTTAATTTCGTTAATTTTGAAATCTATTTTGGCAATGCCTGCCTCTTCGTGTAAATTTGTTATTCTAGTGTCGAAAGGACGATCAAGTACCATCCTCAGCACTCTATTCTGAGCGACCTGAATTTTGTTCCTGTGAGTCTGTGCACATGATTCCCACACCGGAGCTGCGTAGAGAATCGCAGGTGCTGATTTGTTTGTAGACAGCCAGTTTGTTCACCCTTGAGAGGCGGGATCTGCGGCAAATCAGCGGATATACGGATATACATATACGGTAGACACCTAACCAAGGCAGAACACTTGACTACAGTTTTCTCTACATGCTAACGGAAGAGGAGCTTTTCATCGAACAACATCCCGAGATAGGTTACTTCGGCAGACCACTCAACCCTTGTGCCATCCATGATTACAGTACAAGATGGAGCCGGTTTCAGTTTGGGCGATTGCCGATGGAGGAACATGTTTGTTTGAGTTTTGGATGCATTGATTTTAATTTTCCACGTGGTGGCATAATCAGCAAAGGCGTTAAGGCATCGTTAAAGTTTGTTCGTTATTTCGCGAGGCATCCTTCCTTTGACGACTATTGCGGTATCATCTGCGAACAGGAAAAACACGCAACCGTCACCGAGGGGGAGGAATGTTGGAAGTGTAAATGCTGTAAAGCAAGGGGCCCAGCAGACGCCTTGCGGGACTCCATTCAACGATACCTTAAACGACCTTTGCTGGAGGTAGTTAAGGTTGATTTTAACCAGATGTAAAGGAAAGTTGAAGTTACAAAGCTTGTACACAATTCCGTCATGCCAAACATTGTCAAACGTCTTTTCAACGTCTAGCAAGGCCATGGCTGTGGACTTGGATACAGCCTTGTTACTTCGGATGTTATTCCCGTACTAGCTGGTGATTGGTAGAATGCCCCTTTCTGAATCCAAACTGTTCCGGAAGGAGAATGTTATTTTCCTCGACAAACTTGAGCAAACGATTGAGAATGAGTTTCTAGAACAATTTGCTCAGCGCTGAAAGAAGGCTGATTGGTCTGTAGCTTGAAGGCAATGTTGGATCCGTACCGGGTTTGCGGATTGGTATGATTTTTGCTACTTTCCAGATGCTTGGAAAGTAGTGCAGTTCCAAGCATCTGTTGAAGATAGCGGTTAGAAGAGACTGCACTTTCATGCTGAGTCTCTTCAAGATCAAGTTGAATATACCGTCAAATCCGGGAGCCTTCATATTCTTGGTGCATTTCAGCGCTAAGCAAATCTGTTGTACTGTAATCGTATCCAACGGAGGCACGGCACAAGGAGAGGCATCAAGGTTTTAAACGCATTGTGCAACCTGATCGTCGAGCGGACTTTGAATAGTCGAGCCAAGCAAATGCCATGCTCGCCGATCGCATTTGCTTTCTCCTATGGGGTGATTAAAAGCTGATCGTCATCATTTTCGACTCTGAGAGGTGGAACGGGTTTGGGATGAGTTTTCAGGACCTTGGCTACCTTCCAGAATGGTCTGGAGCGGTCGTCAAGATTCTGGACAACACGCCCGAAACTTTCATTTCGGAGTGAGTCCATTCTGGAAGCAATCTGCCTGTTCAGATAGGCCATTTCATGTTTTTGCCCAGGTCTCCAGTCTTCTGAAACTGGCGTCTACGCACATTTCTCAACCGAATCAATAATTGGGTGTGGGAATCAATAGCAACAAACTTACCCCTCACAGGAACTTGTCAAACGCATGTCTCGTTAGCCACGGATATGGCCTGTAGGAGTCCTTCCAACGCCCGGTCGATGTCATCTAGCAGCGGATTTACACTAGACTTTGAACACTGTGGAGCGGAAATTTCAAATTTCGCATCAGTCTAATTTACACCCAGTTGACATGGTGGTAGTCTTTACGCATGCAGCATCTAGCAGGAACCACGATGACACCGACTTCAGTCACCACCGGTTGGTGGTCGGAGCTGAGATCGTTGTGCGCCTCCGGCTTGGATAGTCCGATGTTCGACAGGAAAAAAAAAATACAGGGTGGAGGGATTTCCCGCCGGAGAGATATAAGTTGGTTCGTCTGGAAACTGCACAGTAGTTCCGCCAAGCTCCATGGCGGGCATTCAGGTCGCCCCCAACGATGAATCGGGAGCTAGTACGGGTGATGGCGGTCAGGTCGTTCTTGAATTGAATTCCTAGTCCGTTGCTTGCAGTACACTGTAAACCGGATGTTTCCAGTTGGTGATTCCACCTCCACACTAACAGCCACGATGATACAAGTGCGGATGTGGGGTAGAGTGCAAAACTTGATTCCCTTTCTGACGATGACAGCAACACCACCCCCCTGGAGCTGGTGCGATCAAGCCGAATAATGTTGTGGTCAGGCAACCAGAAGGTGTCGCCGGACTATAGATGGGTCTCGGTTAGAAGGCCCACGTCAATGCTGTGCTTGCGGAGGAAGTCGGCAAGCTCAATCTCTTTTACTCTTACAGAGCAAGCATTCCAGGTGATGATAGTTAGCGGTTTAGACGCCATACTGGATGATGAACTTATTGCGACACTTACGAAGAGCACCGGTCATGTTGACGAAGATTTCCATCAGTTCATCTGCTGAGAACAGATCGGGGTTGTTGTTTAGCGTTGGTGGTTGTCTCCAGAATCCAGGAGGGGGGATGGAGATCTTTGTCCAGCAGAATCACCGGAAGCTTCTGGAGGGGGGCGGGTTTCACCCGCGAATTTGCTTTCCTTTGGCTGGGGAGCTCGAAGAGGCGGGAAATCCTCCGTCCTGAATGCTGGGGTTTTGTCCTTCTTGTGTCCTGGTTGATTGTTGCTAGACGCCTGAAGTCCTCGCGTTTGGAGCACTGTCTGTCCCATTCTAGTTTAAAATTCTAGTACTACGCTATGTTTGTTTTGATTCGCTATGAAAGATTGACAGATAAAATGGGGGGTTCGTGGATTTTCTTATGTTTCGAGGGGTGCATCGATTAACTTGGGATCGAAGAGAGTACCAGAGCTGAACCAAAAAGTTGAGCACGTTTCTTCGGGACCTTCTGGTCTTATGGTTACCTCTATGCTACTAGCATAGAGGTAACTCTAAGACCAGAAGGTCCCGAAGAAACGAGCTCAACTTTTCTGGCTCAGCTCTGGTACTATCTGATTCATAGTTATTGATTTACATAGTCATGTCTAAAAGAAAACAATTTACTCGTCGGAAAATTTAATAATTCCAATGGAATTTGTAAATTCAGCAGCAACTCGTCAGCAATTGTTAGATTTTGTTTATGCCATCACCACATAGAAATTTTCACATTATAAATTCATGTAGAATCTAAGTGAATTTATGCTACATGAATATCACTTGAAATTTATGGTGGGCGTTGGCCAAATTTGGATTTTTCAGATATAATCCTAAATAGGACCTAGATTATTTAATACTCTAGTAACCTCAAGTCCGTGCTCTGTCACAATGTTTCATTGTGATTAATCAACACTCAAAGGGGTAAAATATCAAATTTGGGGTGAATTTGAAAGAAAGGGATCTTGGAGTGTAGAGCGCACTGCCCACTGGACGATTCTGAAGCCTGGCCAAGTGAGTGGGGTATGGGTTTATTTGATTGAACGTCATTTCCAATGTATATATTGATACATTCAAACCATTGGCATTTGAGATAAGACAGAGATAGGATGCGGAGGGCCCGCTTAGGGGAAGCGTAACCCATGTTATGGTTTCCATTTATTAAATAGTTCAGATAGGCTGGAAATGACAGGTTCATAGTGAGAAAATGTACCATATGGGGCCCGTTCACTGATCAAAATCAGATTCACATCGTCAGACCCTGCCCAAGAATAAGGGGATTGACGATGACTTGTCAAATTTTATTTTGAATTTGCGTTTTGCATTTAATACTCTAGTAAATCTCGCGTCCGTGCTCATTCACAACAGTGTGAGGTGTCAATACTCACTGGGTCATATGTCTTAGACCAGTTCCAGATTAGTTTGCTATTAATATCTTCTGCATCGCAGTTCGCGATAGATTCCTAAATATGGGTTCTCTTTTCCGACCATAATAGTGTGAGGGAAGGGGGTGAGTTCTGGATCAACAATGGAGGGGGGCCCATCGGCATTTGTGGGCAAACCGTCCAAAGCCCATTTCTCACGGATCGGAGGCTGCTCACGCAGGCCAACACCATCTTCGTGTAGGTGGAAGTTTCCCCTATCCGATGATGGTGTTGGTTTGCGTGGGTGGCCTTCGCTTTGTGAGTGGGGGGCTTTGGAGCGGTTTGTTTACAAATGCTGATGGGCCCTTTTCTATTGTTGATCCAGAGTTAAACGTTGCGATATGAGAGCGAATAGAGGCAAATAAATAGGGAAGACAACACCATGACCCAAATAAGTAACCAATGCATGCGGCTCTCACTTAACTTGTTCTATTTCTTTCTTTCTTCCTATCATGTACTAATATTAACTGCCTGAGGACAAATGGGAACACGACCAGAAGATCAATAGGAGAAAAAGAAACTTCGAACAAGAAAAGAAAAATTAAACTTGCACCGGCAAGAAGAAGCAGACAGAAAGAATCATGCCGGTTGGAGACAGCCAATGTATACTGGACGAAGCTTGTATCTAGGAAAAGTCGTATGTGCAGGAAACCGTAAGTAGGATAAGAATCGTAAAAGGTGTGTGCTTGCTTGATAAGATCCTAACTTTACTTTAAATACACGGTAGGAATCGAATATCCATTTATGATTAAGGTTTTGCCCATTTTTCAGTGGGAGTGGCAAAACTCATTGATGAGTGATTTATCGTACCCATTTATTAGTAACTGTTAGCAGCTAATGATTAATTGATTTACCTATTTTAGAATTACCTATACTTCACATCAGAACCTCATTTCCTTCAATTACTACTCCGTCGCAGCACACACCTTATATGGATCGCTAACCTTTATTTAGTTTCAGCATTTTCGACATTATAATCAAAAGGTGAGTTTTAAAAGTATAATTACCATGCATATAGATAAGTTAATGTACCAGAACCTGGACGGACACGAGCCTACCCAGGGGAGGACCCGGATACGACCACCCATGTGTGTCTAGAGTATCGCACGAGCTGACGAGTGCAACGGGAAGGACAGTAGGTGTATATAGACTAGGGGGTTGGTCCCTAGATAAGCCTTCTTAGCGGAAGGCACAGCCTATGCACTGAACAATTACAATTACAAATGAATATCACTTGAAATTTATCTATATTTCATCTAAGTTTCAAAGCTTATCACATTGTTTTTTTTTTCCTTTGGTTTGTTTTTTCCGTCGATCTTGTTTTCCGTGCTGAGCACCAATGCTACCCGACGTGCCAGGAAAGCAGCTCCCACACACCTGGACCCTACCACCTATCGACCCATCAACTCATGAACCGGGGACCAACGGCTTTACTTTCCATCCGAAAGGAAGGCGTGATCAGAGATGTTATGCCTCAGAACATCCCAGCGGCGCCGACTGGGATTGAACCCAGGCCTGCTGGGGTGAGAGGTAATCACGCTTACCACTACACCACCGGCGCCGTTACTTATCACATTGTGTTTAATATGATTTGTAATTAATGTTATTAGCGTCATGTGGATCACATTATTTTTAATATCTGAAGGTATCGTGTTTTTTCCAGTGGAATTTATGTGACAAATTTTTTGAGTGTAGGATACACCCAGTTAGTGTTGCTGGCAAATGTAGATTTTAGTCTGGCTAATAAGATCTGATTTCCACAAACTGCTTACGTGAAATATGGGTAAAAACTACTGAAAAACTGGTAACTTTTACTTGATATTCCGTTTTGTTTAAAATGCTTTTCACAAAATGTGTACGTCAATTTTGAATTAGCGTAATGGCGTACGAGGCACTCAATATTATGAACTTTATCGGGCAGATTATGCCTGTCACCCTTAAATATGATAAATTACTGGGTGTTCCTTGTTGGAAATGGTTTTTGGGTTTGAAAGGTCATCATTCGTCGCTGATCTGAAGATTCGATGAGAAAAAAGCGCCATACGAGTAATTTTTATAAACAACCCCTTATTTATTAATTCCTAAACGTTAAAACTCCTCATTACATTCATTTGAAGAATTCTTCGACCGATGCGATTATGTAGAACGTTTATTCCTCGATATAACGTAACTGACTTTTTTCACTTCCTTCGTCGATTTTTCGCTAACGACCATTCAACTAGCACTAACATCGGACAAAGGAGACAATCCCCCATGTATTTATAATGTTGATTTGTATGCTTTTATGGAAGTGTACGGTTACCTACGTTATTTCGAGGAATTCCTGTATACCTCTTTTATTAGTCACGACAGGATGTTTGGTCAATCTTATCCACACTTCAATAAGAAAAAAGACTTCTTTTACACAGTCCCTAGGGTGATTATTCTTAAGAATAGTCTTTCTATGTACTTTTTTTTAAATAATGAGCCTAACATCGTGTCCTGTGAAATAAGCTTGTTTAGATGTTATTTCGGAAATGGAACCAACGTGGGTAAATGTTAATAATGTCGGTTTAATGAACTGAAAATGTAGTAGACTACATTGGATGAACCCTACAAACCTAAGTTTTAAGATGAAATAATATAAGGGAAACACATGGACATTTCAAGAAACCTGCAGTTACCAAACTTAGTCACTTTTGTCGGCGTTGGAGATGGTAATCCGCTTCTGCAGCTTGCTGTACTCCTCAGTCAGTCGGTCGTACTCGCGGTTAAGGCTTTCCGACTGTGATTTCATTGCTTCCTTATCTTTGCGCTCGCGTGTCAGTTCACTTTCAAGTTCGGCAACGCGCTTCTTCAGGTCGTCAGCCTTTTTTAACCGGGGTAAAGATAAAAACGATTTAATCATAATGAGTTCGTCATTTTGAACTGGTTTGAAAATAAAAAAGTACTTACAGAAACTTCATCAGCCGACGGTGCCGTTGGTTTAGGCTTATCTCCGGCTTCGTCTTCCTTTTTCTGCTGGGACATTAGACTACGAGCAGCAGCGGTGGCACTCTGAGCCTGTTTCAGCGAAGCTTCCGATTGGGCTAGCAGTTGAGCTTGGGTGGTGATCAGTGAGATCAAACGACGGATTACCAGCGAGAGGAAGATAGCAAAGCCGGAAATGTAAAAATTACGCTGAGCACGGAACAACCGCATACTGTGCTGCATGCCTACGTTCAGGTGTTGTTCAGCGGCTGGATCTGGAAGATGTTACAAATATTTGAACTAAATGAAAATTACGGTAAAACCTGCTAGTAAGCATTCAGCTGCGTATATTAAGAAACATAAGGTTTCCATTTCTATTGCCGTTTTTGCATTCAAGAAATTATTGATGATTTGAAACATCTTCAACCGGGGGTGAAGGCCAGTGGCTAATCGCAAGATGACTAATAAAAAATCGATTCCATGGATGTTGAACACTGACGTGGAAGTCGAAGATATTTCACCATCAAGATCAAACTTCAATGATCACACATAATAGCTACCTCCAGTCCCATGAAACTCACCGACGTGCGAGTATTTTCTCATCTCCCGGATGGCTTCCAGCAGGAACAGAACAAGCACAAACAGCAGCAGATAAAAATAGGTCTGGGCTTGGCTGCTCAGCATCGCCAGGAAGCGAGACTTGAAAAATCGTTGCCATCGCTGGGGGCTGGCCACTGGCAGCACCAGCATCAACACGATGAATATTTCCACATACAGGAACGAAGCGATCAAGCTCCAAACGAGACTCATTTTGGTACACTTTGTTTTATGATTGCAGATGCGATTCTAAAAATAGCAGAGAAAATAGAATGACATATTTGGCTTGTTTTCCAGGTTTTGCACTTTTGGGCAGACACGAATCTTCCTATATTGATAATTCATCCAGCACAATGAATTCTTGAGATATATACTTACGTTTAGTAAGAAGAAAGTGATTATCAGATTATGAAATTCGATCACAAATTCACAGATTCACCTTTAAGCACTCAGACTTCCTATCTTTTCAAAATGACGACGACGAATGTACTCCGTTGTACTTCGACCGGTGGCTTTTTGTGCGAGAGAAAACGGGAGAGAAAATAATTTACTGTTGGCTGTTGAGTCATTCTTTTATTTTTATTTACACATACGTGTCCCGTTGTGTGCGTGGTAGAATCTGACATTTCGATTTAGTTCAATCAAAGACGTTAAAGACGGATAGGTAGGTATCGAGGTGACTGACCTAAGGCTCCGTCTGCTATAATTATTACCATAATATTATTTGTTTCTTTGGTAACAAAACACGCCGAAAACGACGCAGAAATCGTCGCCATAGGAATTTGTATGGCGATGATTTCTGCGTCGTGTTCGGCGTTTTTTTGTTACCAAAGAAACAGATAATATTCCCACAGTAAAGGCCTGTATGCATAGTAACCGCAAAATACCCAATAATGACTCTAAAAGACTTCAGAGTCGATGTTACAATAAGAGTCCCGCCAAGAGAAAATGTTGCGAACAAGCAGCACTGTTTGTGATTTATTTTTCGACAGAGTAAACGGCAACTAGATTGTTTGGGTTAGCATCGGATGACTTTCATTTAGAAGTGAAAAATTTCTTGTCGATAACGGAGCTTCTGGGAGACAAAAACAATTATTGAACCTGAAATTTTTTTAAAACAAATGCTTGGTATATTTTATAAATACCACAATGCATTAAATAAATCGAAGAAATGTTTTTCATCTAAAATTACTTATATATTGTCAGTAATGAATGCAATACTTGTACTTCATTGGCTGTGGGAACAATAATATTTATTTACTTTGCTTGTTTGGTACCCCGCTTGACAGTTCGATTGGTACTTCTGGCTTCACTCTTAGCGGGACTCTTATTATAACATTGACTCCGAAAGACTCGATATTGACTACATCTCGCCAAAGACATAGTTTGAAATGGTTCGATAATTGAGCCATGTTTCGATCAAAACTAAAATGTCGTAACAGTGATCCATGACGGCCAGATGATAATCTTCCACGAGGCCGTTCATACCGCCAACGTTCTGGTAGTAAATCGTTATGTCCGACCTCCGCTGTTCGGGAACAATGAAAGGTTCAGCGTGTACACGGATAGAAATTTCCTTATACCTTTTGGAAAATTTCTATTGCTGATTATTCATAAAATGTATAAGTCAACTAATAAGCAGACGCCTTGCAAAAAGTTAATGAAGATCATGTGTCAAATGAAATGTATAATCGGTCACACATACCTTTTTTGCATTCTTATAGGACCTATGTGGTTTGTCTTATGGAATGTATAAGGCTGATGTTTTGGCAAAAATGTATAAATGAAACACATGAATAAAATAATTGATTTTCGTTTCGTGTAGTTGAATTTGGGAGCTGGTAGATGACGGAGGAAGGATGTTCGAGTAGGGCCGCTGGAAACCAAGATAGTTTCAGGCGATAATATATTCGTCGGTTGATCATACTTGCCAATTAGGTTTTGCACCGTCGGGGTTAACCTCAATCTGATGACAGTTCAGTGGTACTGTTTACGTGGACTTAGTCGATTTTTTCTTGGGTGGATTTTCTCGATAATTTTTCGGAGTGCAGTGAGATGTAAACCACACTTCTGCAATGTCCATGAGCAACATCCTTTCCTCGACAATTTTCAAGTTGAAATTCGGAAATTTAAGAATATTTTTTTTCGAAAAAACGACTAAGTGCTTGTAAACAGTACCACTGAACTGTCAAAAAGGTTCAGCCGATTAACACTGAGTTCATTTGTGACGTCACGCTGCAGTACCTAATAACAGGAATGTGGAAGACCCCTTCTCCAATCTCAAACGCAGGGCCGGGACGACTGCTTGTTGCTGGCAGGAGGGGCTCGACTGCGATATAAGCCATAGTCTGTACGGGATATAAGAAATTAACAGGTTGTATTATGGTTTCACCACAGACAAACAGACATAACACTCGCAAGTTGTTCATCGAACAAGCATTTAACGGTCAATTCAAAAGTATCGTAGTTGGTAGTACCGCCACCTGCAGCGCGCATAGTCAATTCCTTTGCGTTTGACGTTTACACACTACCGCCATCTGTTCAGCGTACTACCCACCATAGTGCACTCAACAGATGGCGGTAATGTTTTAGCGACGATGTTTTACATTGAGAAATATTCAATGTGTTATGTCTGTTTGTCTGTGGTTTCACGTTTGTTTTTTAATGATTGTTTTTTAGTGATGCATGATGTTGGATTACAATATGTCAAGCAAATAAAATCATCCAGAAAATGGGAAGTCGTGGAATGGAATTAATTTTTAGGTCATCACCATTTTTCTGTATGATGATTTTGAAATTCCACCCTTTTCAAATTTCAGTCTAGATTACAGTTTTCCATTCATTGCATCGCAAACTCACTAGGTACAACACGCCCAATGAGTACAGAGAGAGGTGAAGCAGATCGTGAAATATGGTTGTATTAGTAAACCAAAAAATCAACGTAAACGCAAGTAGTGACGTCACTAATTGCTTGTATCGTACAGGGGTTTTACTCACACAACTTAACCGTTTGCTTCACCTCGGTAATCCACTCATTGCAACACACCCATCATCGTACGTTGACAGCTGCTAGTAAAGAAACCTTAAAAAATCCTCGAAAAAAATCTTCAGATTTTGGCACTCCAGTTTTGATAGCATCAAGTTTTATGTTATCGTTTTCTAGCGAAACTTAGTGTAAAATGCCGTTCCATTACTCATAAAGCACACTAGGAACCACTCCCAATTGCACCGAGCATACAGCATAGTGAAAATTGATTCAGTTTGTGTTGGCTTTTGTGACAAAACAGAAAGATCCAGATTTTGGATCAGCAGAGCAAGGATGACCTCCGGAAGCTATGATTCAACAATCATTAGCACGGTCACGCAAAAATTTCGAGAAGACGAATCAGTTCTGGCGGTAAGTTGGATGCGGTAAACGAACGAAAGTGAAATTATTGTTCAACTATATTCTGCATATCAGTGACAATATATATATATATATATATATATAGATGCAATCGATTTTTGCTTGCATCCTGTTGTGTGTGTGCGTGTGTTTTTTTTAAATATACAACATCACACGGTTGTTTACATCATTTCAAAGGTTGCACTTGAATGCTTCCATGCTGATGATTGGTGTGAACGGCCTTGTAATGTGCAATATGTTGCATGCACAAAAGGCGGAAAGATGCAAATCTCAGAATGTTACTCATCGTCAATGACATCAGCTGTGTTGTTTGTTGAACTTTCGCTAACATAAATATACATTTCACTTGTCTGGTAGATTTTCGAAGCATACCAAATCCTTGGAAACAATCACCAGAATCAACTGCTGGTCATCGCCAGTTCCAATACTACATCAGCGCTGTTTGCCTTCTCCATAGTGCGCTACCCGCCGGAGAGCATTTCCGACTTGACTGTCATTGCCGTTTATCCGGTTGATGACACATTTTGGATTAATCCAGGTACGTAGCTGAGTTCATTGAAAGGTGTTCCGTCACATACTATTTGATTTTTAGATTCCGGTGGTCATGGATCCATTTCGAGCTCTCAGTTTACGATCTTCTCAAATAATGAACCTACGGTGTACTACTACCAAGGGTCACGGGATGCCATTGCTTCGCGGGATAATTTCATCAGCAAACTGAAGAGTCAGATTTCCACCTATAAAACTCGCTCGTCGGAGAAAGCTGCCGTTACCTTTCCGCTGGATTTCGCATGGTTGGACTACTACAAACGGGCCGATATGCTGCTGATCGACCGTAGCATAGCGGAAGGGAGCCAAGCACCCAAGTCGAGGGATTCCAAATTCAAGGAGGAATTGGAACGAAGACGGCACGAGTACATCGTTTACGAGCCGTACAAGATCTATACGGCTACGTGGAATGTGAACGGGCAAACATCGGAGGACATCGAATTGCCGGAGTGGCTGTCGACTACGGAAGATCCGCCGGATATCTATGCGGTCGGATTTCAGGAAATCGAATGGACGCCGGAGAAGATTATCATGAATGAGACCAAGATCGATCGGACGTGGGTGTAAGTGTTATTCTGGGCTTGTTGTTTGTAAAATTGATAATTTTTAAAATTGCGGTTTCAGCGACAAAGTAATGAGCGGCCTTCATAAAAGTGCAGTTTACGTAGAAGTTGCATCGGTTCGTTTGGTAGGAATGATGCTAACGGTGGCAGTAAAGAAATCGTTACGTGATCGAATTTCCGACTGCCTAACGGCTGCTGTTGGGACAGGAACATTGAAATGGGTAATACTACCTATCGCTTGAGAAATGATTGTTATTGAATTGGTTATTTCTAAACTTATAGGGCAACAAAGGAGGAGTGGGTGTAAGCTTCCAAATGAATGAGGCTTTGCTGTGCTTCGTCAATACCCACTTGGCTGCCCATACTCAGGAAGTGGATCGACGAAATGAGGACCATGACGAAATCATCCGAAGGATGTCGTTCGAGAAGACATTTCGTGGACGTTCGATCAATGAACATCAGTTAGTACATTCGTAAAGTTTAGCGTAACAGTAACCCTAACATTCCCCCAAATTCCAGTCACATATTCTGGATCGGTGATTTAAACTACCGGCTCACCGGAGACACCACACAGAGAATGGTAAACGATAATGATCGTGACTATAACCAGCTGTACCGCCAGGATCAACTATACCAGGAGAAGCTTAGGTTGCGCATCTTCCGAGATTATAAAGAGGGTAAAATATTATTCGCACCCACGTACAAGTACAATCCGGGGACGGACGAATGGGACAGCAGTGAGAAGAGCCGGTGCCCAGCATGGTGTGATCGGATTCTCTGGAAGGGGAGCCGGACGGAGCAACTAAAGTACGACAGTGTGATGCAGTTGAGGAGGAGCGACCACAAACCGGTGTATGCGGTGTTCAAAGTCGATGTAAGTACAAATTAATGATCCTATACCCACTAGGGAAAGATTGGGGACGGTCAAACATGATTTCAAGATTTAAAAAAAAACTTTATTTTCTGTAAACTATTGTCACTTAGCTTAAATCGGTCGTAGTTTGTAAACTTAAAAGAGCAAAACATCCCAGAATCGACTCAATACATTCTTCTAATGTTGCAGATTGAAACAAAGGATGATCAAAAGTTCAAGAAGGTTCACGAAGAAGTACTGAAAACAGTCGACAAGTATGAAAACGATAACCAACCACAGGTAAACTTTGCAAACAGGACAAGCAACGACGAACTTTATCAATTCTCTGATTTTTCACCTTCGCAGATAACGGTCGAGCAAACGGATTTGGACTTTGGTTTGATCCGTTTCAACGAAAAGTATTCCCGAGAGCTATTGGTGGCGAACAATTGCCACCTGCCGGTGCAGTTCAGTTTTTCCGCCAAGGACGAGCGCTACAGCCACGTGTGCGAAGACTTTATCCACATCAGCCATAAATCTGGTGAACTAATTACCGGTGATAGCCTTACCATACGGATAGACATACTGGTCGATGCGAAAGCCGCTTCGAAGATGTTGAAAAAGCTGAAGGATGCCAAGGCCGGAGTGAAGATTCCGCTGGATATACTGGTGCTGCACGTGAAGAATGGACGGGACATTTTTATCACCATTTTTGGCGAGTACAAATCCAGCTGCTTCGGGGTGTCGCTGGAAACGTTGATGAAGCTGAATAAGCCGGTTTTCGAGTACGAGATCAACGAGTTGGTTGCATTGGCGAAGGAAGAGAGGCTCGTTGATTTGACAGACGATGGCAATCTGAAAATTCCACGAGAAATCTGGAGATTGTTGGATTATTTGTACAACGTACGCTGTTTGGACTTATCACAGCTATTTATGAATCGCGATTATGGCAAACATGAGAACATTGTGGAGATTCGGGACTGGCTGGACAGTTGGTCATCGGCACCGTTTCGTATCCTTTTCAAATAGTTTAATCTTTTTAATTACTTACCTATTTTTAAGCATTAAAGTAAGTTTCCTTAACATGCATTCCTCTCTAGCTGGAACACCGAAAACTGCGGCAGAAGCGTTGCTTATTCTTTTAGAATCTCTTCCAGAGCCAGTGGTTACCATCAGCGAGAAGGAATGTATCTTAAATGCAGAAAACTACGAGCACTGTCAAAGGCTTATTCGGCTAAAGCTAAAACCAGTCAACCGGGTGGTGTTTTTGTACATTTGCTCATTCTTGATCGAACTGCACCGGAAAAACTCAAACGTTCGATTGAACGATCTGGGTAAGTATTACTCAACATGTTTGGAAAGGTGGTGAACCAATTGAAATTGTAATGCCTTTTAGCCACCATCTTCGGTCGGGTGTTGATTCGAAGTCAGATTGCTCCGGGCACTGACCCGTACGCTTACGCCGAGGGGTTACGAGATCAGAGACAACGCTTCATGATGACCTTTTTTAACAATAAAATACAGGAATTTGCTCGAGCGGTAATGAATGGCGTTGGAAAGTAGGAATTTTATAATGTAGCTATCGTAAAACTGGGGTGTCTGAATGTAAGGGACGATCGTACTTTGTAGGTATGCATGTTGCGCGCAAAGCAATATTTGTACTAAAGGTGTAACATGAACAAATGGATACGTTAACTTAATAACGGGAGATCAGGTTGAGTGTCTGATTTTTCGACAGAACCATATTATGTATTTATAGTTGTCAGTCTGTAATCGTGTAAAATAGTGGGAACGCAAAAGTAGCATCTACAAATGGTAAAGTAGAGAAAGAATCAAGCATGAATAAATAATAGCGGATTTTACCGTTACCACCGATCCTGTGAGTTTTATTTCTAGTTATAGGTAGCTGTCATAGTACTTTTGCCAATGTAACGAAATGGTAGAGTTTTCTTATCTTATCTTATCTAACACCAACACAGCCAGTTCTTGAAAGCATCCTGGAAAATTATATATATTATATATAATATTCTTGTCTATTTGATATGTGTTTCACATCGAAGATGCGTCACACATATCAAAACGGCCAGGCCTACTGTGCAGCATTAAGGGGCAAGATGATTCAGAAAGCATCGGGCCTGTTTAAATCGAATTTAAACACGATGCTTCAGAATCCAATAAATGGATGAAACGTGGACATCTCGAACCGTACGTTCCGATTTTGGTAATTATATGATTGGTTGGTCGTTGGAAGCATCAAAGCTAGGAAGGTTAAGTGATGCTCCATTTTCTTCTGACGGTTGGGGCATGAGCACTAACTCTCGTCCTAGCCTTCTATGACTGATTGCTATAGCGCCATTACTCGCTTTCTGAAAAGAGAAGAAGGAAAGGAAAAGGAGAAGGACAAAGGGAAAAGGTTTATATGAAATCTATGAACATAAACAATATTTTTTATTTGAAAAATACAATATAGAAATGCATAACGCGGTGGTCACTACCCGAGTCATGTCACTATTATCAAGTCATAAAAAGTAACAAGGACTTGAAACTAATGTTCTACCCGACAACAACTCAGCAGCACGATACTCCTTGAACTGTGTCTCAGAGTCGGCGCACTACTGGGCAACTGGAGGGGCTACGCGGACGAAAAGGCACCCAAGCTTTCAATTAAACTGAAACACAGCGCGGATCAATTAAAACACTGTATTTTCTCCAATTAACGATAGTGTGGATTGTGTGGTGTTGTGTTCGATTTTCTTGACACATTCCCGTTGATGACGATGGCGACTACGACGACTGCAGACCAGCGAGCGCTCGCTGTGGTTCCGGAATGATCCTTAAAGGCCGATCTTGTCGGCAAGATGGCGGTACCACCGCTCGGTGAAATTCCGGTACAATTCCGACAATGGCGGACGAAGTGATGCTGACCGAACGTCGGCTGTAGTGCGATGGCGGGTTGGTTTTACCGGGGCTGGTATAGCGGTTTGTATAGATAGTTCCGATGCACAGGCGCTTCCTTCTGACGAAGCCGGTCGACGACGGCAAGGCCGCCCTCTGTCGAACCGGGAAGGGAAATTCTCCTTGGCGTTTATGGCCTTCAGCCCGAGAACGATGTCTTTTACGTTTAGGTCAAGGTAACTAAATGTCACCTAGACCGTAGCGTGCAATGGCGGTCCTTGACTCGCCAACCAGAAAACAATTTGATTGTTTGAAAAAGAAAGGTCCTGAATCAGCTGAATTGGTGATTTACACTTCACCCTACTCGCACTGTATTTTGTTAAAGTGTATTACATCTGCAAAATTTGTATTAACTAAATAAAGGAACATTTTGCCTAACTGTTTATTAAAAGATTGTTTTGTTGCTTTTGTAAATGTTGAGAAGACTGGATACATAAACTTTTCTGGTTCCATGCGACGAAGCCTAGGGTCTAGATGAGTTAATAAAGACTTCTGATAGAACCAGACATTACGATTCCTTGTGCACTTGAAGATGCGATGAACGATAGTGTCAATTTCTCCTGGACATAAGCACATAACATATGTGGAACTTCATGCAAAATAACTGACTAAAAGTTGACCCCTTTTTGTGTTGCCTCAGTGGTATAACTGGTATAGTTGGCCATCGATCTGTCAAAACAAAATTTTCATGATATCGACACTGAGCGTTCACAAAGACCAATGTCGAAAACAAACAATGGCTTCTTCCGTAAATTTCTCGTCGCTCAAAGTTAATCCATGTAAGCCACCAATTCTATCGGATATGAGAACTCTCCCTCTACATAATCATCGTGGTGGTTTACTTAAGTGGTATTCCATTCTCGAGAAATTCGCGGAAAAAGTAATTGTTTACGTTTGCAACATTGACTCTTATGAAATGCAGTAAGCATTGACTTCGACGACGACTCTGCAATTCTTTACTCCTATTGTTAAATCCCAAAAGCATTTGACAATCTGTGCATAATATCTAGCGAACTTTGTCATGTGTCTTCACTCCACCATGATATCAGTGAGGCACCGTCTCTTCACGCAAAGCTTGACAGGATCTTATGAAATTTTCATAGGAGTGAAAGGGTAAGGAAATTTTCACCATGTTTCATGCACAGACAGACGTTTGCTGAGGGGGATTTACTATAGGAGTGAAGAGTTACAGAGTGGCCGATAAGGCCATTTGCAAGTTTCAAGGTAATGCGGCTATTCTGTTTTCGACTAGCTCTACAGGGGCTGTCCATAAACTACGTAGACAGTTTAGGGGGGGGGGGGGGGGTGACAATTATCCACGGCCCATACAAATTTTAAATTTTTTGTATGGACAACTGTCTACGCAGGGGGAGGGGGGGGGGGTCAAGAATCCCAAAAAACTGTCTACGTAGTTTATGAACAGGCCCACAGGGGGCTTATCAAAGGATTTTTAACTATTTTATTCAAATCTGACATCGTTGTCGTATTTGGAACTGCACTGCAGTTTTGAACAACGGCAGGGATCTCCACATCTTCGCGCCGGCACTTTTACCAACAATCAATACGAAACTAACGATTTTAAATTGGCTCACCACTTTAGTAGCCTATTGGTCCCAAGCAAACGATTAACGTACCCTATTCTAGTTGAAATTCTATTACTACACTATGTTTGTTTTGATTCGCTATGAAAGTTTGACAGATAACATCAGGGGTGTGTGGATTCATGCAGAACATGCAGGGGTGAGTGAAATAGCTTGGGACTGCTTGGGACCGTTGTTCTGGTACTGAGTGAGCCAAAAATAATAATGATTTTCTTCGGGACCCAGTGGTCTTAGAGTTACCTCTATGCTATCATCGCCGTTGTCTGATTCAGAGCTATCAGAAGCAGGGTCACAATTTGAATTATTCGCCTGTCCTGTGCCTTGCTTGATGCCCATGATTTCACTGCGAGTCAGATTAACCCTAGGACCACTTCCATGAGCTTCGCCGACCAGGCCACCTTCCGTAGCATCAGAAGCGACTGAGATTGCAGGAGTTCTGGTTTCATTGTTGATGACACCGACACGTTTTTCCACATTACACGAGGGTTCGACTAATTCTCTATAAGAGATGTTCAGAGGATCGCATCGACTGTCAAACTGATCCACATTGCATGATATTGCAACTGCCTCTGTATTCTCGGGGTCGAATTTGTTGTCCGGTACCACAAGATCTGGTAAATTTATTTTTAAATTTATAGGGCAGCCCGGAGGAGGCCTGATAGCGCTTTCAATTGCTTTAGTAACCACAAGATCCAACGGTTCAGAGGACACATCCAAGTCACCGTCTCTCATCGAAAAATTTAAAGGTGACTCATTGTTGGTCATGGTACGCGATAAATTCATAGCCACTGACCATCGTGGATCCAGAAAAGTTTTCATTGGCATTGAAGAACGAATGTTGGCAAAGGAAACGTTGAAGCTTTGAGATGAGAAACTGCGATGGGACACCTCCTCGTATCGCGCAACTGACATATTTGCAGCGTCGAGCGTCTCCAAGTGCTCCCCATGTTCTTCCTCATCTAGTTCTACAGCCGCAGCTTAAAAATAAATTGGAGAATGTCAATAGTTAAGCACATGATACATTACTGACTATATTTACCTAGAATTAATTCGATTCCTCGGGAGAACTCCATTGTTAAATATCACCAAAGTTTTGACTGCAAACGTTCAATTTAAATTCGACGAATCGAGATTCGAATGCCTGTTGCAATGGCAACAGTGTCAAACAGATAAAAAACAGGTTAATCTTACATTTAAAAAGGCCCTATCAAAAAAATAAATCCTTTGCCATCATAAGGCCTTTTTCAACCAAGGCCTTATCATGATATATGAATATGCTTGTGGTAGGCCCTTTTTTAAATGTTAAATATTTTTTCAATCAAATTATTTTCATAAGTGATTTTAATTATGTAGCAAAAGCTATTCATGGTCCATCGAATAAAGCTATAAAACGATTTGTTTACATTTCGGTCTTAGGCCCTTTTCAATTGTTGGTCTTGAATTGCTCCTTTTTAAATTATTTTCAATTTGTTTAGATATAATGTTCGGACATATCTTTTGTCATAAATCTACGCAAATAAAACCATGAAATTTTATTTCAAATTTGATTTAAGCCCTGGGGTCAAAAACTGTACCACTAGTGGCAAAACTGGTACACTTATCCTACATAAAATAGATCTAAACAATTACTTTCGTTTGTAAATAGTGCTTACGTTGAAAAAATAGCTGTTACTGGTAACTTTGAGTCAGCTGGGAGTTCCAGCCTGGGACCTTAGCAATAGTGGTCGAAAAAGGATTGTTAGGATCATGTTTAGCCTCTCCTTTGCCTTTTAGGTCAATCTTTCCACGTTTTGAATACAAAGTAATTGGAGTGCATCTTTGTGTTAGGATTTGAGCAAATAATTTCAATTTGCCGCAGTTGAGAAACATATGGAGGGTTGAATCATTGGGTATTACAGGTATCGAAGCGTTTCATTTGATTTATCGTCCTGCTTGCGAAATTCTTGCGAATTGAACGATGGTCACCTAAAAAACTGCATATTTTCAGCCTAAACTGGACCACTTGTTGCAAAATTTTGCTGCTTCGCTGTGGACTTCAAAATGTGTGCTGTAAACTCCTAATTTGCGCGGTCGTATTTTTCCGAATCCAAATGAAATCAAAGTTTGATGCAATTGGTTCCAAACAATTTGAAAAAGTTTAACGAAAAAAATGGTACATACATTCTTCTTCTAAGTTTACAAAAATAAAATTGATAAACATACCTGCACGAATTTGGAATTAGAAAAATTAAACAAGTATTCGCGAGGAGTTTCCCCACTTTTCTGCCATAACTAAAAAAAAAAACAATACGTATCGCTTTCAAAATTGGGCT